CCTTCATCTCCTATTGTCCCCTGCTCATTCCCCATGGTCACCATGGTACCTCAGCAGTCTCCCTCCTCTTCTCCCTGAACACATCCACACAAGTTGCTTCCTCACCTCTTTCAGCTCTTCGCTGAAATACTATCTTCTTAGTAGGGTCTTCATTAGTTGCCTTATCTAAATTTCAGCTTCCCATGACACTCTTTAGTCTTGCTTTATTTTTTTTTCCTTCTCACCATCTAACATATTACATATATTTACCTATCTAGCTTATTTTCTGTCTATTCCAGACTCAAATGTAAATTCCATGAGAGCAAAAATTTTGTGTTTTGTTCTCTGGGTGTATTTCCAACGCACAGACCAGCATCTGGTACATTGTAAATTCTCAACCAGTGTTATTTGCAGTAAATAAAAATCAATGTTAAAGAAATATGTCATCCAAAATGGATCATATTAAATTTTTAAAAAAGAAATACTATTTGTTATATAAGTAATGACGGCATCGTAATTTGTTTTGTTATTTTTCAGATGGAGTCTCGGTCTGTCACCAGGCTGGAGTGCAGTAGCATGATCTCGGCTCACTACAACCTCTACCTCACAAGTTCAAGAGATTCTCCTACCTCAACCTCCCGAGTAGCTGGGATTACAGGCATGCACCACTAGGCCTGGTCCAGCTAATTTTTATATTTTTAGTAGAAATGGGGTTTCACCAAGTTGGCCAAGTTTGTCAAGAACTCCTAACCTCACGTGATCCACCCACATCGGCCTGCCAGAGTGCTGGGATTACAGGCGTGAGCCAAGGCACCTGGCCCATTATAAGGTGTTAAATAGCAGATGACATATATAAAATAGATGAAATGATGTTGAAATTGCCATTGCAAAATTGTAACTGAGACAGTCAAAGTGATCTGACCTAAGCAACTCCATCTTGCTTCTAACCTTCAAGCTGTCCTTGTTCATTCCTGGGTGTAGGCTGAACTATCTTTGGGAGGAACTTAGTTTATAGTTTAAAACTAATATGATAACAGCACTTTCCCAAAACAAACCTCCTTGCCTGGGGACTAGACTGCCTTTGTAGATAGAACTAACTAATTACTCACAAGATTAGAAATTATGGTCTAGGGGCTTGTCGTAATGGCTCACGCCTGTAATCCCAGCATTTTGGGAGGCAAAGGCAGGCAGATCACTTGAGGTCAGGAGTTTGAGACCAACCTGGCCAATATGATGAAACCCCGTCTCTACTAAAAATACAAAAATTAGCTAGGCATGGTGGCACACACCTGTAATCCCAGCTGCTTGGGAGGCTGAACAAGAGAATCGCTCGAACCTGGGAGGTGGAGGTTGCAGTCTCCATCCTGGGCGATGCAGTGAGACTCTGTCTCAAAGGAAAAAAAAAAAAAAAACACACACACACATTATAGTTTAGGAGTCCTGCAGCTGGAACCTATAAGATTCTGACCCTACCTAAACTGCTCCTAAGATCAGTGCTTGAGATATTTTGCAGACCTGATGCTGGTACCACCCAGATTCGTAAACTGACTCATCCGATCTCCTGGCCTCCACCCAGAAACTGACTCAGCCCAAGGAAACAGCTTCGACTCCCTGTAATGACATCTCTGACCTAACCAATCAGGACTCCTGGTTCACCGGCTTCCCCCACCCAGAATGCTGGGGAGACTGATTTGAGTAACAATAAAACTAGGGTCTCCCGGACAGCTGGCTCTGAATTACTTTCTCTATTGCAATTCCCTGCCTAGATAACTCAGCTTTGTCTAGGCAGCGGGCAAGGTGAACCCATGAGGCGGTTTCATTATTTGCTTTACAAAAATCAATAGATAAAACACACTTAAGCCAATGTTTTTATTGAAGCTGGATGAGAGGAACATAGGTTTTATTAAACTATTATCTCCTTTCCCATATATTCTGGAATGTCAAATAAGATTTTAAAATAAAAACAATATGTGAAAAAAAAATGACAAGTTGCTAAATTAATAAAGGTCATAAAGGAAGATCTGCTGAATACCCAAACAGGGCCTTGTGCTAATCTGTAAAGGAAGGGTTCTATATGCAAACAGATACCTTGGTTGTATGCCAAGCAGCCCAGGATGGTATGTGTTCCTCCTTGTAACATCCCTAAAAACTTGATACTTTCACTGAAAGGACCTTGGTGTCTCCAAAAAAAAAAAAAAAAAAAAAAACCTTACGTTAGTGTTGCCCTAAGAAATTCTTATAAAAGTCAGGTATTGAAAGATAGTCAAGCAAGCCAGAAAGTCTTTAGAGACCAGTATATTCTGAGGGCAAACTACAAGGAAACAGATTCAGTTAGAAAACTGTGCTAAGTCTGGAGTCAAACCAGAGCTAATGAGTGTTAAAATTTATGTAGCAAGGAGTCTCAGCCCCAGCTGTTTGTTAGAAGCACCTGAATATTAATAATTACCATTCCCTGGGCCCACTCTACAGACTGCTATTAGTCTCATTGAACACCAGGTAAAGATTTTTCTAAAGCCTTCC